ATTGTACAATCACTTTGAGTAAATCTTGATTATTTCTATTTTCCTTTTGGTTGTTACTTTTTCGACATTTTTTTTCTTCTAAATCATAATTGGAATAGACGCTTTCTTCTTATCTTGCTTTTTTAGTTCCTCAATGTATCCGCGCAATGCACGTTCTTGAGATAATAGATTGAATTCTGCCTCGCACGGCTTCGACTTCGCTTCCAATATTTCATCCTTGTCACGGCACCAATATTGCGTATAGTGGCTAAGATATCATATAATGGCATGAACTAAAGAACAGACGTCTTGCTGTTTAATGAATGTATTGAGAAAGCTAAAGGAAGTACGTCAACGATAGCGGCGCGCTATACTGTATGTCTAGTAAGCGTACTTCACAACAACCTTTACTCCCATAGATAATGAATGCAAGGAGCTGGTGTTTGATATTCGTAATGATGTACAATCAATTTCCAATGGGTTTTTTTTCACATCATGCTCATGTTTTTGAAAAAGGCCTTTAATCTTAACCAACATAACTTAATCCTAACTGCTCTATAAGATAAGGAGATGGGATATGATTTCTAATGAGACAACTAGCAAACAGAGTCCAAATGAAGCGGATTTCAGAGACTATGAGTTAACATACGGCCTTCAACAATGAGCTAATCTCATAACGTATATTCAGCTATAAAATGCCTCGACATGATAAAGTGTGAAATAATTTAAACAAAAACACCGACGACCTGATTCATGACAAAACAATAGACGAAAACAAATAGGACAGATAGCAACCATCGACATCTATGTGTCATTCTTTATCATATATAATCATATTATAAATGCTTACATATGGCTTAAAACAACTTGATTTAGTGAATTTTTATTGTTAACTGTTTTTACTATCAAAAGAATGAGTGACGAGCACATTCCTAAAATATGGAACTTTAAGTGCATCCTCTTCGAAAAATAATTCATTCATTTTGATTCAGTAATATCTTGCAAAAAAAATGCAAAATAAAAATGCTAATTTCAAAATACAATATTTTATCAAAACTATATCGATAACTTCAATGAATAGCATTGGATAACAGTTATAACAAATCAAATAAGAATAACGTTTTAGGTCTAGTATATTGTAAACATTTGCATATTCATATTCCTATTCTATTAACTAGTCCATAAATAAACTCATCAGATATACCAGGATTAAAATTTTGTACGCCAGACGCTAATTTTGTCTACAAAAGACTCATCAATGATGCTCGAATAAAATAAGGTTTAAAAGGCCAAATAAAATACGAAGTTGAAGAGTATTGAGGACCCAAAATTCCAATAGGTTTTGTTTTGCCAAATACAGCTAAGGTTATTTATTCCTGGAGTAAAACATCCTTAGTATTTCGAAAAATTAAAAGTTTTGTAATCAGTAAATTTATAATTATGACCATAACAATGATTATTCATGTCAACACAGAAGTATGGTACAAAAAAAACTGGAAATATTTGAAATGCTTTACCATAAAAAAAATAAGATCTTAGATTTTGGGCAATATCAAGTATGCGGAATCAGAGTACTGCAGTTTCCGTAAAAATAATTATATGGAAAATGAAAGCTTATACAATATTGCTGATTACTGAATTGGTGATACCCTAGGGGGAAAACCTCCACCAGCAGTGGCATCCATGTTGACATTGTGAGTGAACAACAGGGGACATTGGCCATAACTTTCGTAATACAATTTCTAAAAAAAAAAGCAGAAATATTTTGACGTAGTTTTTTGTATTGTAAATTAAACAATCCCATGCTTTCATTTTCCTTATAACCATTTTTTTCGGAAATTTCAGTACTCTGATTCCGCGTACTTGATTTTATCCGAAATCTAAGATCTTAAATTGTTTTTTATGATAAAGCATTTTAAATAGTTCCTGTTTTTTGGGGGTTTTATTTTGCACCACATGTAAAGATATGCAAGTTTGAACTCAAGGATCATTTCAATACGATTCATTATATTTAAATGGAAAATCTTTTTGAACAAAATATAACAATGCATTACACATTGCGATATGAATATTTGTTTTATTATATACAGGCTAACCCAGTACACTTCAGATACAAAAGTCAGATCATTTATTATATTCTATTGTTTCTCGCAGGGTATTTAATGTGTTATATTCTAAGCCGATTCATATTGTTTGAAGAAAACTCGATAAACAAGAAGAAAATATTTTATGGAATATATTTTGCTTATATAGTGAAAGGTAATATTTTTCTTGTTCGAAATTGGTACCGTTAATGTTATCAAATGATGAATGCATATGTTTGTTAGTTTGCTCGTGCAGCGAATGTTTCTTTTGAGTCACCACAGGCTAGTAATACATGTATCATATGTCTCTGTTGTCCCCCAATAAATCATTTTATTTTATCATTGGCATCATAAATTACAGGCATGATTTTAACGGTAAAGGAGTAGGTCCGGTAAGGGCCGATTTTGGCCTCAAATTTCAGGTTCATCTGACGAAAGATTTTTGACACTTTTTAAACACTTAAGTGTCTATTTCAGTTGATTCAATTAGTTCATGTGAAAGATTTTAACTGATTAAGTCATTAAAAACGCTCCGATTCTAGCTTAAATATGAAAAATCTATCAAATATGCCAAAAAATGTCACTTTTCAGATGGTTTTTGTCAAAAATGAAAATGGCCGCATCCGTGTTCATCCTCAACCTTTATATATGTTATGTATTATCATCAAATACAACTTACATTTCAATATTAAGAATGAACACAAATGCGGCCACTTTCATTTAAGACGAAAACCGTCTAAAATTTAACTAAAATGTTAAAATTGTGAAGATTTCAGTAACTTTGCACGAATTAATGATGCTAGTTCCCGATATATGGGCATTGTATTTTCAAAAACAGCCCATATTTACGTAGCAGACGCATTCTTCTTTCCAATAAATAACTAAAAGTTTACATTTTAACAATTTTGTAAAACTGCTATATTTTGGGGCCAAAAAGAGGTCTTACCGGGCCTACTCCTTTCCAGTTCATTAATTAGTTAACACTAAAATAGGCCCTTTTTATGATATTTAATTGTCTAATCTTATGCTTTCCAAATATTTGGTGCCAAGGAATAATAATGTAAACATGATTAAAAAGAAAAAGAAATACCTGATGAAGCATATTCTTGAAAAGAAACATGTTTCATGTTCATTAGACATCGTATAAGATATCTAATGTCGATGATGACTTTGGTGCGATTGAAAGAAAAGAAAGTTTGTGCGGCAATCTTTCTAATTACTCCTGGTACCTCAATATAGAAGACGCGAGACTTTCTGAATATACTAATAGTTCATCAATTGTCTTTGAATATAATAATGTTCCTTCAATTGTCTCTGAATATAATAATAGTTCATCAATTGCCAATTTGTAATGTCCAATAGATTAATCAATTGTTTAATGTCCGTGATTCCAAGATTACAATGCAGAATATTTTCTCAAGCGAAAACTTGTGTTGTTTTTACGAAATAGAAATGTTTCTGGAATAATTAAAAATTGTCTTTTTCACTTCAATTTGTTTCGATTATTTTTTCTTTCTGTAAACAGTTTATAACCAGAAAGGTAGACTTGAACGTTGCTATAGTATAAACTTAAGGTTCTCGCCCTATTTCACTGAAACGGTTTTACCTGAGGTTCACTAGGCAAAAGTGCAATAGTGTAATCTAAGTTGATTATCAATAATTTCATATTTGCTCGTTGGTTATGATTACAAAAGTTTTATTTTTGTAACAAAGCAAAAAATTGTAGTTTTGCAACAAAAAAACTCAATTCGTGAGCATGCTATAATGCTCGTAACTGAAAATGATTAAATTTATAACTGAATTCTGTGAATATCGTACGTGAAGCTAGAGGTAAATTTTTGACAGAGATACATCTTATCATTATTTGTTTTATTAGAAAGTTTCGTTTTATTTTCTTCATCGGAAAACGAGAACGAAACAAGTAGCTATTCATTTTATGATATACTTCCTGTTAAAAAAAGATGAAAGTTCTAGGATTACTCGAAGTTTCCTTTATACAGGAATATTCAATTTAGGCCGAAGAAAAAAAATATTGAAATTTAAATTTATTAAAATATCAGAGATAATTAAAGCTAATTATGAGTATGAATTTCCCTTTGGTTCCTTTCGTCTCTCTTTTACATTAATCTCATCATTCTGTAATTTGCATAATATATTATTTTTTGTCAACATTTTAGGACTGATTTTTTTCATTACAAGGATACATGTTGGTCAAACGTACATTTTTCTGGTGGAGTTAGACCTAAAATAGAGGCGAAAGATACAAAAGGGACATTCAAACTCATAAGTCGAAAATAAACTGACAACGCCATGGCAAAAAAAGTATTCTTCATCAGAAAAAATAATTTATCAAATTTGTATTCATTTCTCGTTGAAATGAAACAAGGAACAATTTCATTATTTTCAGTAAAACTTTCTTTCCTATGGTTATTAAGATGTATACAAATAGATAAAAACTGAAATTCATCATCCACATCTATTTTACATAGGGGACACATTCTTTATTTTCTAAAGCTGTTTTATATTATCAATTTGACAAAAAAATATAAAAAAATACCTAATTCCAAGGCAATTTCAAAAAGGGGGAAGTCCATAAAAACTGACAAAATCAATGGCAATATATCAACGGAACAGATAAAAAAACAACTGCCATAGTCTTGACTTGGTAGAAGCATTTTCCGAAGAAAATAGTGCGACCATTATTTATAGCTCCGTTATATTGTCAAAGTTGGGGAGGCAATACACATTATACAAACAATAGGCACACCAATTTGCTCTGATTCATAATGGTTATCCCTGCATTTGAATTTGTAAACATTCTGATTTGATAAGTAAATGTACATATTTCGAAGTGAGCAAAATAAAGCATGAATACTTAATAATCATGAAGTATTGATAAAATGTGATAACGACTGGATTTTCAAAAATCTTATTCAGATAAAAGAAAGATTGGAGAACATGTCAGCTGACAGAGCAGAATCATTACGCTTTTATAATTATTTACGCAATAAGATTGGCACTGAGAAGATTGTGAAAGCGAGGCGATTAGCATTTATAATAAATGATGCTGGAGCTCAATCCGATTTTCCACAAATAGGCAGCGGAAGTAGAGGCGAGGGTCTCGATTTAAAAGGTAGCGATATTGATTTAATGTACATTGATTCTTACTTCATAGTTCATGAATCCGAAAAAGATGTCGTAAAGGGAAGGAAGGTTCCTTTGGTAATGGATACATTGGACACACAACCATGTTTTACCCGCCTACGGGTGTTTAATGAAAAAGCTATTCCTAAGTCTTTGAAGCGTATTGTGGAAGGAAATGGCCTTCAAAAGTTTCTCTCAAACGATATATATAAACGACATCAGCTTAATTTGTTATCAGCAAACTCCCCTCCACTGATAAACATTCACGGTCCATGCTTATCAGATGACAAAGAAGACTTTGATTTTGCATTTTGCCTTAAATGTGACAAGTGGATATCCCATGCACAGCCATGGATTAACAGGTCCCGCACAACTTGGCCTTCTTCTGAGCTTACCTCAAAAATATTAGCGTGTGGTGTTTTATTTGTGCCGATTGGCTACAAAGGTTCAATAAATGAAGATATTGAATGGCGCATATCATTTTCAGTAGCCGAAAAAATGCTGATATTTTCTTTTAACCACACGCATTTACTTGTTTATTCTTTGTTGAAAATATTCCTGAAAGATATTGTAGATAAAAATGGAGATTTTAAAGGTTTGTTATGTTCATATTTCCTAAAGACGCTGATGTTTTGGATGTTAGAAGAATCCGAACCATCTACTTGGAGACCTGACAATATTATACCATGCTTTATGAACTGCTTATACAGATTAATATATTGTATAGAATACTCTACTTTATTGCATTATTTTATTCCTGAAAATAATTTGCTTTATTTGCGATTCAATTTCAACAACCGAATTAAGCTGATCGAGTTCCTTCAAAATGCATTCAAAGCAGGGATTGCGTGTTTTTCATCTTCAGAATATTTATGTAGTTATTTTACGCCTTCATTTGAAACAAAAGAATTTACTGAACAAACTAGATTAGTACAAGATCTTATACATTTTATGGCTTGTGGCCTTGGAATATATTATTGTGAAAACACATATATACTGCTAAAAAGCTTGTTACATTATTCTAGAACCAGTTTATCAAAAGACATTTTCATTTTGATTATGTCACTTGCACACCAGATTAGACCGCAGACAAAATATTTCCCGTACAAACCAAACAACAAAAGATTGTACTTCAAATACAGATGTGATCTCGGCCATCTGTTGGTTGGTGTAAATTCAGATGCAGTTTCGGGATGGCTGATGATTGCAACATTATTTCAAACTTATAAAAGACACGGAATAGCATTAAGAATTTTGAATTATGTATTGTCAAAATGCAATGACGAACATATCTATATTCCTCCGAAGCGTTCACTTGTAATTTTTAATGAAACCCATCAATCCATGCTAGATTCGATGAAACAAGAAAAGATCATCACAATTTTGAAGGCAGTGACAAGCAGTGATCTTCACTTTTACCTTAGATCGTCGATTATTCCTACAGAATTACAACTGGATGTAATCAAATATGTTACTCCTTTTCCACACTTATCATATGCTTATTTCCTCAAGTTCCTATGCTTTTTTCATCTCAATGACCTCCCAAAGTGCAAAGATTCTATAAACCAGATACGTTTGGCAATATACCGGACCGTGAATAGTGATAATGGTGTGTTTCTACATCTTTTGAAATCATTGGTTTGTTATGGAGTTGCTTATCAAATGATAGGAGAATTGGATTTCTCTAGACATGTTTTTCAGATGGTAGCTAATATTGATAGGGAACATAAAACCAGTGCTTTATTACGACTGTCACATTTGAGTGCACTCTGATTGAGCATTCCGATAGAAATCTATCGCCATATACAAATTATAAAGCATGGCAGAATACTCGTGGATAATAGCCGCTAGCAAACTCAATATTATGATTTGAGTAGCCGCCGCCGCCACACCGAACACGTTTGAGTTGTGACTTGTGTATAATCACAACCAACAAATGTGTTACAATACGCGACTGAATAATTCGGAGTTGTGACTCAAGTATTATCACAACCAACAAATGTGTTACAATACTCGACTAAATAATTTGGAGTTATGCCTCACGTACTATCATCACTAACAAATGTGTTACAATATGCGACTGAATAATTCGGAGTTGTGACTTACGTATAATCATCACAAACAAATGTGTTACAACACGCGACTGAATAATTTGGAGTTGTGACTCACGTACTATTATCACTAACAAATGTTTTACAATATGCGACTGAATAATTTGGAGTTGTGACTTACGCATTATAGCCGCATACAGTCACATGTGTTACAGAAGGTAGCAAATAAAACTACTGCAATTGTAATACCGTATGAATTGGAAGTAGATCACATTAAATAAGTAAAAATAAGTTGGAATATTGAAAGAAACATTAAAAGAAACAAAAATGCAAAGAAAAAGGAGGTTCAGCAGAGGCGGGTGAACGGCTTTTTAAAGAGGGGCGCAATTCCCAACAATGAATATATTTTGGAAGATTTTATGCCAAAAAAAACAAATATTTTTTCTAATCAGAGGAGTGCGAGAGCACGCCCTCTTTTACAATCCCCCCCCCCCCCCCAAACCCCCCAACCCCAACCCAACCCAACCCAAACTGAATCCGAAATTGGTTCATGCCCATGTGCAAAGTTCCCATTAAAATACACTATTTTAAAAGGGAAAACCCGATTAATGGATGGGTTTGTGCAAATAATACGTTGCGATAAAATGTTTTGTACTAGAGCAAATCTTTAAGTATGTACTTATTATTACACAACGCAATAAATATATTCACTGGTTCTTATGGATATAAGGCAAAATGAACAATACAAACATTATATTATCTTACAGCCTGTCCTCTGGATGGGGCGGTCTGCCACTATTAAACAGTGCGGGCTGGTACAGTCTGTCCTCCGAGTGAGTCTGTCACTACCTTTAGAATATTGGTCCTTAATGCTCTTCAACTTCTTACTTTAATTTACCGTTTATTTTTTTTTTTATTCGAGCGCCACTGATGAGTCTTTTGAAGACAAAAAGAGCGTCTGGGGTACAAAATTATAAGCCTGGTAAGTTTTTTTTTTATGTCAGATCAATTTGTACCCAAAACAAAGTGTTCTCACAATAATCTAGCTCTTACGCAACTTATATCTAACATTGTTGATTCACTGGTCTTCTTTTTAAGAACATTGGCAGAACTCAAATGTTTTTTCTCTTTCGCTTACATATCCCTGGTCAGATACATTATTTCCTGGATAGGGGTGTTAATTAAATGTTCCCCTTACTAAACATAGAGTATCCCTTTCGAAACCGCTATAACCTTCGACCCGACCACTAACTTTCCCGCCAAACGTCGTAAGTTACATAACACCTTCGCCAGCGTGAAACATGTATTGCTACAAGAAGATTCTTCGTATTTGTAACTATAACGATCAACAAACATTACAATAATCTTCCTCTTAAAACTATGATCTTATGGGAACAGCAATAAGTCTTCATGCAGAGACATTCAGTAAATCATTCTAATTAATTTTATTTTTACTGCTCAGTATAGAATATTACATATCGTTTATGGTATTGCTAATGCACACGGCCTTCCATAACACACATGGTTTCAGGTATTATTAATACATCAGGCCTTTCATAACACAATTAGTTTCAGGAAATGATAATGCACATGACCTTCTGGCTTCGATAACACAGTTTAATGTATTGATAATGCACAAGGCCTTCCATAACACATATGGTTTCAGTTATTCCTAATGGGTAAGGCCTTTCATAACACTCAGTTTCAGGAATGGATAATGTACAAGACCTTTCTTAGCACACCTACAGGTATTGCTAATACACAAGGTACAAATTCATCAATATGACAGTTGTTTTCCATTCATTTGATGTGTTTGAGCTTTTGATATTGCCATTTGATAAAGGACTTTCCGTTTTGAATTTTCCTTGGAGTTCGGTATTTTTGTTATTTTACTTTTATCATAACACTGCTGATGCACGAGAACTTCATAACACATAGTTTCAGCTTTTGCTAATGCATAATGATTTTCAGAACACACATATGTTCCAATTGTAACTACAATCCCATTCCCTTTTCCTAGAATGTGACCTACCAAATTAGATAATACCTGGGCGTGTACTTACATGACAACATGACGGGTCCCACATGTGGAACACTTGAGATCACCAACGGTTTTTGTTGGGGTTCATGATGCTCAGTCTTTAGTTTTTTATGTTATGTTTTGTATACTGTTGTTTGTCTTTTGGTCTTTTTCGTTTTTGCCATGGCATTGTCAGTTTATTTTCGATTAATGAGTTTGAATGTCTCTTTGGTATCTTTCGTCTTTCTTTATATTTAGGTATGGTGTGGACAAAAAAGAACATTAAAATAGCACTATTGATGATAATTGCATTAACTGCAGGTCTTTAGAAGGATAAACACTTTTTCAGTAGATGAAATGAGCTAAATGTGAATCAATGATAGCAAGTCCCCTAATTTGCACAAATTTTTCGTGTAAATTGCAATTTCATATCTCAACCAAATAACCTTCCCTTGTTACATGTTTCACCAGTTATGTTTTATTCTTAGAAACAGAAGAAATTACCAAATAAAGATACATCTAATAAGGTTTATCAATTATCCTTGTAGGACATGGGACCAACAAATAGACTTGAAACTAAGATCTTTAATGTCTTCAAAAATTAATCTAAAAAGGTTGTTTTGGGGGCATTTTGTAAGTTGAAACATAGGTATACTATTATTATAATTAATTGGTTATTGATTTTGAAAACAATTATCATGGTTATATGACAATGAAGTTTAAATTTGAAGAGTATTTAATTCAATCTTAATTTAATATTTTACAGAAAAGGGCATTGACTATATGTACTTTTTCAACATAAACAAATTAAAAAAAACTTCTTTTATTGAAATGGGGATTCATTCTTAATTGTAAAAATACACTTCCTGTATTCAAATGACTAATATTGTCAAAAGACATTTGATGGGGAATAAATCAAATAAAATGCTTCATGTAGCGCAGCCTGATATAACCGCAGAGGTCGAACCCTGAACAGTTGGTACAAGTTTGGACACAATATTCAAGCTTGATAATGTCTGAATTTGGACTGTGATCAAATTTTTAACATAATATAGGTTTCATACACAAAATAAATGTGGTCAAAGATCTTGAAAATTTTAAATGGGACATTTAATTTACCTAGTATGGTCTGATATCCAAAATCTAACAACATGGTTAGATTCAGCATATCAAAAAACACCAAAAATTTAATTTTAGTTGAAATCAAACAAAGTTTAATTTTGGACCCTTCAAACCTTAATATAGACTAATTTGAAAACAGGGCCCAAAATAAAAAAATCTAAATGCACAATAAGATTCAGCATATCATAGGGCCGCAATAATTCAGTTTTTGATGAAATCAAACAAAGTTTAATTTTTGACCCTTTGGACCTCAATTTAAAAATGGGGCCAAATATCCAAAATAGTAATACAAGTTTAGAACCCCCAAAAATTAAAGACTTAAAAAATCTCCCCCAAACTTTTAGACCCCCCACCCCCAATTTTTTTTAAAATTTTGAAGATTATTTTCTTTTCAGCAAAAATGTACAATTTCAAAGAGTTCCATAAATTTTAACACAAGTTATTGTCTGGATACTAAGCTAATTTCTAAACATTTGGGGAAATTACCCCCAAACTCAATCCCAGCCTTCCCTTTGTGGTATGGAACCTTGTAGTACAATTTCAGAGAGATCCATACACTTAAACACAAGTAATTCATTGTCTGCAAACTAGAAAAATGCTTGTTTTTTGGCTCCTTTTTTGCCCCTAATTCCTGAACGTTTAAGGCAATTACCCTAAAACTCAATCCCAGCCTTCCCTTTGTGATATGGAACCTTGTACAATTTCAGAGAGATACATACACTTACACACAAGGTACTGTCTGGAAACTACAAAAATGCTTGTTTTTGGCCCCTTTTTGGCCCCTAATTCCTAAACTGTTAGTATCATAACCCCCAAAAACAATCCCAACCTTCCTTTTGTGGTATTGAACCTTCTGGTAAAATTTCATAGAGATCCATTCACTTAAACTAAAGTTATTATCCGGAAACCAAAAGTGTCTTCAGATGACGACGACATGATAGCATTATACAAACGCAAATTTTTTGCGGTCGTATAAAAAATATCGGATTACTTAGGTTAAGAGTATTGAAATTTTACTTACGGTTTCAAGCCAATCACTGATAAGTGTAACCTAAATTATTGATTAATTACAGATGAGGATTGCACAGATTTATCAAGTAAAATATAGACCTTACTTGAATACCTTTTTTATATCTAGATTTCATATTTTGTCTTTTCTTTTGAAAAAAATATATCTTGCTAATCCTTAATCATTTATCTTTCAGACATAATTTATAGAATCACTTTATGTAGTGTAGATGAAAAGTTTTAATCAGCAATGAATAAATCTATCATTTCTATATACATGTATATACATTTGTGTATTCAATAATGAGGTCAAGTATTTGTGTATTGAGATGTATAATGAAGGGTCTGTTTAATTATGTAAGACTGAGGATGATTAGTAATTTGGTTAATATGATTGGCATTAAAGGAGGTGGGACATTGTAATTAGGCCCCACCTTGTCTCTGATTGTTTAGTGAGCATGACAGTTGTCAATCAAACAGGTATTGTATCATTACTCTTACCTAATTAAAATGAAAAAAAGCCTTACATACTTCAATGACTTGCTCCAAAGATATAACACAAGCTTTTCACTGTTCATATGTGCACAGACATGAGAACTATATAGAACTATATTTTAGTGTGTATACATTTTGTAAATTTAGTAGCTAACCTGTGTTACATTTTGTACTTCTTGTTTGGGAGGCCGGTGCCTTAGGAAAGATAGTTCCAAGTTTGGGAGGCCGGTGCCTTAGGAAAGATAGTTCCAATCATTCCAAAAATGAGGACATCAATATATCAAAGTTTCATAGAAACTCACTTTTTCCATAGTTTCTTTACAATTCTAAAATTTACCAACTTTCTATTTTAGTAATTGTGTTGATAGCAGTAAGGTTCATCAACTACTATTCTTAACAGAATAGTGCCATTTACTCAGTTTGATAGCAATGGAATTTTACAATATTTTCCAAACTTTATTATGGAACATTTTTGCCAAATTTCAGCAGTGTTTAATAACATTAACAGTTGGAATCATAAACCATAATTGTTTAAGAGTAAAAACATGCTGTTTAGACAAAGTTTTGTGGCAATTAACATCAATTAGACATGCTTTATTATAACTTGATCAATGAATTTGATTATTGATTTTGGTTATCAAAATTTCTTTTTTCTGTAAATTTGGAAGCCATACCTGATGGTAGAAGGGGTCATCAACCAGAACTCTTAGATAACACCAATCATTTATCTAAAATTTGATTTCAGTTTTCAAACCTATGAAACAGCTAGACAAATTACCAAGTGTTAATTGAAAATGGAAACATGTATTGCAAGCATCTTTCAACAATACATCGCTGTAATATAGCCATTTTGTGCTGAAGCGGCATAAGAAAACATCAATTAATCATTCAAAAATACATTTTTCTATTCTCAAAATTGAAGCAAATTGCTGTCTCTGTCCTGTATTGCATATAAGCCTGAATATATTTCAATGTAAAAATAAAACTAAAGGTGTATCAAAATAATGTTTATTAACAAAAAGGCAAAACATTAAAAAAAAAAGATCATATAAAATAGCATACCATTATATGGTATGTATGACTTGTTGAAAGTCTTAATATAACAAAATCATCTAAATATCTTTCATACAGTTGAGGATATCATTTTACATGGGGTTTTTACTTTTGTAACTTTCACAACTTAAGTGGTGCAAACTGTAGTGCTTCAGGTATATATATTGACAATACTGTCATCCAGCAAGAAATCTTACTTTTCCTTCATCAGCACTTTAGAAAAATGTGAACTGTGTCGGATAGAAATCGACCTTATGCAAATGAATATCAATACATCTGTTAACTTATTTCGGGCTGAAAAAATCTATATGCAGTCTTAAACTGTTCGAAAATTGAGCTGTTATAAGAACCCTACAAAACAGACCAAAGTTCATCTTTTATTTCGTATTTGAATGTTCCAAAATCGATGAAAGTCTTATACATGTACATGTATACATGCACTTGCATAAGGTCGGTTTCTATCCAATGCAGCTCATGTGTTGATTCACTACACCTAAAACATGCTTGAACTTTTAAATTGTATATCAAAATATATATAATTTTATGAATGGTGTGTGTCCAAAGCACTTTTTGAAATAATACAAGAGGATGAATTTTTTTTTTTTTGAGGGGGGGTTCAGAAAAGTAAACTTGTGTACTTAAATTATGTATAATGGACATTATCATGTGTTGACTACTGTGTGATTTCTAATTGGAAACAAACATTTCTAAATATTAATCAATTACTCATACCTTGTATGTTATGTATTTAATTAATAAATTTCTTAATATGCATTTGTTTAGTCTTCTGTTTTTAACTTTGTTTTAGAAAGGCCCTTAAAATTCATTAAATTAGATTTGGTTATTTTATTTAAATTTACAAATCAAATCATTATGAAATTTGCATATGCCCCTGCAATCAGGAAAGTTCAAACGATCCTAAAAAGAGGTTGATATCAATTGACACAAAATAATCACAGTTATAACATCTATGACAATGGATACACAATGATGATAATAATTATGATGGTTGACAATACTGAAATCCGTGACGATGACACAAGTGTTGACATAAGCCTAACTGATTAAAATCTGATTCAGTCAACAAATACTAAAGCACAAGACTCCTAAAAGATACCAGTGCTAAAAAGATGTTTTCCTTTTTATCCAGCAGATGTGACTTGAAAAGCACAATATTTGTGTAATGCAAGCTGGAAATTAGCAGTTTGATTATCAACTCAAACATTATCATGTAAGTCTGTTGCACTTATTGCTATAAACCTTCATTTCATTCTTGTTTCACTTTAGCTTTTTGACTTTTAATCCATTTGAATGCCTTGTACAATGAAGCTATCACAGGTAAACTTATTGGTAGAAACAATGGAATGTATATTGCAAATCTGAAAATATAAAAAAAAAATCATCCACCAATAGCTAGATGAACTTTCTGAAGAAATAAAAATGTGCCCAAATCCCTTAAAAATTTTAAATCAAATAAACTCACTAGTCAAAAAGAGGAGACAACCTGTCCACTTTTGAAATTTAGCATTGTTAGTGTTCAAATGTTAGCAGTAAGAGACAACAAGCATGCCAGTTCTTGTATAATCCATTCAAACTGTTCAACCATTGTACCTCACTGGGATGTATTTCAAAGAACTTAAAATTTTGCAGATTTAAACTGTAAAATGCATGCATGATAGCATAATTGTAAGCAAGTACTGTGAAAGTTCTTTTATTTGTGGGTATCAATATTCGTAGTTTGAGTAAAAGTTACATGTTCTTGGGTTCTTAAATTCGTGGATTTTATTATCTGAAAAAAATCAAGTGAAGAATTTGAAGTCATCAAAAACAAAGATTCTTGAAAACAATCATTTGCTGTTTTATAATGATTTGTGGGATATTGTAAAATAAGGAGTTCATTTTCACTTACTTGTTGATCTTTCATTACTGACAACATTCATCAATTTTTTTACAAAATGATTGTCTTCGGAAATATAAGCTGATTCATCTATGCTTACAAATTGTATCGATTGAAAGAAATTGCAAAGTAAACATTTCAATTATTCCAAACGTGTAATCAGAAGTTACAATACTAATTAACCCAAAATCCAATGATCAACAGATTAACTATTATCAAAGGTGTAATTTGGGCCATAAACATGTCACTTAAAGAAAACAGTTACATAAAAAATGCTACAAATGTACTTTGAAGAATTTTAGAATGAATTCTTATGAAATAAAAAGAAAACCAAATATGAAATTATTTTTTTATGAGAATTATGAGGAGATAAAATGAACACTTCATCATCACATCATCACTGGAAGTCTGACTTTCATGGATCAAAACTAATTTTCATGAGAATTAAAATTTCAAAGGTTAAAGTCGTACAGTTTAGGTTTAATAAAGATTAAATGGATAAAATCCTGTCTGAAGTTATAAAATTATATATATAGTTCATATTGCTTTGCTGATATTCAATGTATTTTCTAGATTATACGCCCATATCTATGAAGTTAAACCTTAACATGGGGATCTTTCCATGTCTTGATTTGGACAACAGTAGTTATACTTCCTTGGACACTTAAATTCTTGGATAAAGCCATCAGGAATACTACAAAAACTGGTACCCCACAAATAAAAGTACTTTCACAGTAAATTATTATCATTATAAATCCTCAATGTGAAACAGAAACTGTATTACATGCCTTGATAGCCATACCTATACTAATATATTCTCATAACAGAAATTCAATCTGTCAAAACAGAATATTTAATGCAGTCTGATATTATCAAAGACTTGGATTTTCAGTGAGTGAATTATCAATTAAAGAATAATACATGTCTATAGGACATCATCACATTTCCGTGTTCAGTGAACCATGAAATCTAGATCAAAACCCTATCTGGTATATGTATTAAACAGTTCACCTAATAATGCACATTTGTACTAAGTTCAAGTTGATATGATCACAAACAACCTTAAACCTGTTACAGGACAAACAGAAGGGCCTACTAACAGAAGGATGGACAGACAGAATGATGCAACGATAGGAAAAATTATACCCCTCTAGTAATGTAGGCAGGCATAGGAAGATATGTTAAAAAGTGTCAAGTAAAGGAGCTGAGCTAATTTTGATAAAAACTGCAAAAGTTAATGTTTACTTTTTTTTCTGAGCTTTCCTAGTTCAAAATTCATTTATTCATGTGTTACAACTTGATTTTTAGCTCACCTGGCCCAAAGGGCCAAGTGAGCTTTTCTCATCACTTGGCGTCCATCGTCCGTCGTCGTCCGTCGTCATTAACTTTTTACATTTTGAACTTCTTCTAGAGAACCACCAAACATGCCACCTTATGAGGTGCTGACCAAGTGTTGTTACTTTGTAGCCGATCCATCATCCAAGATGGCCGCCAGCAGGGGACTTCGTTTAACATAGGACCGTATGGACAATACATACAAATGTCATCTTTTAGAGAACCACTGAATGGAATGAAACCAAACATGGCATGAATGTTCCTTATGAGTTGCTGACCAAGTGTTGCTACTTTGAAGCCAATCCATCATCCAAGATGGCCGCCAGCTGCAGACTTCATTTAACATAGGACCCTATGGACAATACATACAAATGTCTTCTTTTAGAGAACCACTGAATGGAATGAAACCAAACATGGCATGAATGTTCCTTATGAGGTGCTGACCAAGTGTTGTTACTTTGAAGCTGATCCATTATCCAAGACGGCTGCCAGCAGGGGACTTCGTTTAACATAGGACCCTATGGACAATACATACAAATGTCTTCTTTTAGAGAACCACTTAATGGAATGAAACAAAACATGGCATGAATGTTCCTTATGAGGTGCTGACCAAGTGTTGCTACTTTGAAGCCGATCCATCATCCAAGATGGCCGCCAGCGGGGGACTTCGTTTAACATAGGACCCTATGGACAATACATACAAATGTCTTCTTTTAGAGAACCACTGAATGGAATGAAACAAAACATGGCATGAATGTTCCTTATGAGGTGTTGACCAAGTGTTGTTACTTTGAAGCCAATCCATCATCCAAGATGGCCGCCAGCGGGGGACTTAGTTTAACATAGGACCCTATGGGAAATACATACAAATGTCTTCTTTTAGAGAACCACTGAATGGAATGAAACAAAACATGGCATGAATGTTCCTTATGAGGTGTTGACCAAGTGTTGTTACTTTGAAGCCAATCCATCATCCAAGATGGCCGCCAGCGGGGGACTTAGTTTAACATAGGACCCTATGGGAAATACATACAAATGGTTTTTTTTTAGATAACCACTGAATGGAATGAAACAAAACATGGCATGAATGTTCATAATGAGGTGCTGGCCAAGTGTTGTTACGTTGTAGCCAATCAGTCATCCATGATGGCTGCCAGTGGGGAACTTAGTTTAACATAAGACCCTACGGGAAATACAACAAATGTCTTCTTTTAAAGAACCACTGAATGGAATGAAACCAAACATGGTATGAATGTTCCTTATGAGGTGCTGACCAAGTGTTGTTACTTTGTAGCAAATCCATCAACCAAGATGCCTGCCAATGCAGACTTAGTTTAACAAAGGACCCTACAGGCAATATATACAAATGTCTTCTAGAAAACCGCCTAATGGATTGAAACCAAACATGGTATGAATGTTTTTTTGAGAAGCTGACCAAGTGTTGTTACTTTGTAGCTGATTTGTCATTGTCCTTATAAAGTCATTTTCTACAATTTCAATGAATTTATTGGTAATTTCTCTAAAATTTACAAAAGTCTTCTGCTTTTGATTAAATTACGGGGCCACTATTAAACCAAATTTGGCTTCAATCATTATTAGGGTATATGTTATAATTTTAATCTATTTTTACTTGATTTCCAAAACCAACATAAAATCAGGTGAGCGACACAGGCTCTTGGGAGCCTCTAGTTAGCATTACTTATGATGGTTAACAATAAAACTTCTCAGCTATCTATGAAGGGCTTCATGTTTCCAAAAATATTAAACTATTTTATATCACACCTAATAACCAAAAGTTAAAATGTTGAATGTGCAAAGTTAAATAAGATATGATATACATCATATATATAATCTGGTGTTTTAATAATAATAATAATAATATCTGCTTAAAATTTATTTGGAAAAATAATAATAATAATAATAATAATAATAATAATAATAATAATATATGCTTAAAATTGATTTGGAAAAATGATAATTATAATAAAAATAATAATACATGTGTAATAATAATAATAATAATAATAATAATAATAATAATAATAATTATAATAATAATAACTGCTTAAAATTGATTTGGAAATTTTTACTTACTTTTGATCTTCAGGAAAATATAATAATTCTAGGAGTGATGGATCAAAGAAAGCTGTCTCTGAAATAAAATAAAATGGCAAGAGTTAAATATACATATATGTTAGACTGATGAGTGTAATAATTTTCATCTTTCTGCAAAGCAATTTAACCTATTTAATATTTTCTTTTGCAAATAGTCAGATATGATTACATGAAAGCTACTTATGAAGAAGGTATTATCATGAAACAAAGAATGCCCAAGGAAGAGTAGTATCTAGCGGAGCATGAAATACTGACCCTTCTAGAGCACCTGAATTCCCCCCAATTTTTATGAGGTTGGTGTTACTTAATCTTAAGTATTCTGTCTTGTGTTTTGTGGACTTGTCTATTTGTAATGTTTTTTTTTTGGCCATGGTATTGTCACATTTTCTTAGACTGATGTTTTTTTATTGCATTCATTCATGTACATAATTTCTCCAATAATTGGATAGATGGCTGTTTAACGTCCAGTGGGAAATTAAAACAATATTCAGGACGAGAACATACTCTGATTAACATTACAAAACTATTAATGCTGATTGTACATGTACTGGTTTTATATATTATCTATCTTTATTCTGCCTTGTAAATGATAAAAAGGAGAACAAAATAGATGAAGTTTTTTAAAAATTATCAATGAAAATATTACAATTATCAATACTTAATTTAAAATTAAAGCAAGAGGCTGTCAGATTGACAGCAAACCGGATTTTCCTGCATGAAATTGATATCTGCAGGTCTACTACTCAAAATTGATAAAAGATACAATCGCGAAAATCATACAACATTCAAAGTATCACAAGATTTTCATCTTCAAGTTATCGCATGGACAACACTCTAAGTATCACGTTACTTAAAGGTCTATAACTCATCAACGATATAAGCTAAAATTGTAAAATTCAAACATGACCTTCTAATAGTCACAGGAAACAATATACCTACAGGTAAATTTTAAAAGATTTCATCAAAGCGTTTTTAAGTTATTGCACAGACAACGCTCTAAGTATTACTTTTCGCTACTTAAAGGTCTACAACTGAAAAACGATAATAGTTAAAACATCGTGAAAATCAAACTTGACCTTCAAATATTAACAGGAAACGACAAATCTAAATTTGAAAAGATTTCATCAAAGCGTTTTCAAGTAATTGCACAGACATTGTTTGGCAGCTGCCCGACCAGCCGCAGTGCATCACCATATTAATAACTGATACTTTTCTTCAGAAATATGGTTAAAAACTGGTAAAATACATTTATACATTTTCAATTCGTAAAGTAATATTTAGAAATGTTGTGTACAAGTAGTCTTTTACCCTACCATATGATCACCATTTCAGGTGTTGGTTCACCATATATAAATTCAATTAGTAATAACTTTGTACAAATTATAACATGACAAACTTTTGTAAAAGTTATCAGTTCTTTGCTTGTAACATACATTTACAAGTCCTCAGTTGTATCATTATGAGAAAGAAAGCAGTGCTAAAAAGAATGTTGACATACATAAATTTGTGAGAATAACATCAAGCTGGTCAATTACTAATGATAAACTTGTATCCCCTGGTGAAATAAAGTAAGTCTCAAAGGAATGAGAACTTGTAAAATAGTCTACAAATCACAATTTGTACAAAATTACAACATGTACTCAATGTAAAATATATTAGATTTTATGTTAATACTAGAATGTTACCTGAGGCTTTAAAGGCTTGTTTTGACTTGAGGAAAGCTTTATCTAATTTTCCCTGTGCTAAATAGTTGTGACTAGCTTTAATAGCACTTACAGCTTCCTCAACCTGTAAATAATTAACAATATTTTTGTCACTAAAAGAATGATTAGTTTTAGAAGTCATATGCATAAAGCTATAGTTGACCGATCAGTCCCATAGTAACAACACTCAGCAGGTACCTTTTCTTTCATAATTTGATTCTTCTGGTACAACAATTTTTCAAAGAAAAAAATTTTCAACATATTTCCCATATGCTAAAATGCAACCAATTCATTCATAAATCCTCATTTGATTACAGGTTGGCATCATAACATCTAAGCTTAACTTACCCCGGTAATCATTTAGAGAGAAAAAGAAACATTTCCAACATAACTCCCGCAGGCTTCTTAGTGATGTGCCAATCCACATCAAATTATGAAAACTTAATCAGTAATTCACCAGGGCCTCTGTCATAAACTCTACTTTACTCAGTACTCGGAGTACAATATTTGTGCTCGAAACATCAAATCCAGTATTTTGATTGGTTGATTACTGAGTCTGATTACAAAAATTGTACTCAAAAGTTTTATGACCGCAAGGCCAGGAAGAAGGATCTTATTTAAAACAAGTTTTCAGCTGGCCATAGGTTATCTAAAAGTATCCAAATTAACGTCACATAGTAACTACCAAACAAGGAACTTTTCTATCATATTTATTTTCAGTTGGTTCAATGGGTCTCATGAAGAGTTGTAAGGTTTCTATGAAAGGTCTACTATATCTGAAGGGTAATAGCCTTAATCTGATAGGAACTAAGATATTAAACTTTATCCTAAGAAATCTCAAAGATATTTTGCCCTTCAAGGGACAGAACTTCAAAGTGTTGGACCACAGACGGATGAAACATGACAGGAACTTTTGTTTGAAATATCTTATAACCCATAAAAGTGATAACAAGATGAAAATTTAACATAGCAAAATAAAAGGACAGAATTATAAACACTAAAATCCAGCTTACACACAAATATAATTCTAAATAACTGTATGGGATTTAACATTTGAAAGAAAGCTGCAATTGTTGTATACATAGAAACATGATAAATACAAACCAGTTTTCCTATGTGATCTTGTATAACCATATTTCTAATTTTTCCTAATAACTGTGCTAAAGATCTTAATGTGGATGCTGATGTTCCTAGATTTTCTATACATCTGTATCTTAACCAGTTATCTAGTTCCTGGGAAAAAAAAAGAATATAAATATATAACTCCACAATTACACAGCATTTGTTTGTCTGTCCCAAGTCAGGAACCTTGTCGGTAGTTGTCTTACGTCATATCTTATTACAGCTCTTCTATAAAAGCATGCAAAGCAAACCTTTGATCAACTTGCTTGCTATGTTTGCTTGGATGTTTGCAAACAATAGGTAGGCGGAGTTTCAGTCTGTTTTATATATACTGGGATTTGATTGGACAATAAAAATTGACATGCAATGAAGTTAATGTTTATTGTCCAATCAAATTCCATTAACTAGTAAACAGACGGAAACAGACTACCTACCTTTTGTTTACAAACATCCAAACAAACATAGCAAGCAAGTTAATCAAAGGTTTGCTTTGCATGCTTTTATAGAAGAGTTGTAACACTTTTATCAGTTGGAGAATTTAATCTTGAAGGCAGATTTTTGAAAGTCTGTTATTTACAACTATTTAAGCTACAACCTCCTGTTTATTGTTGAAGACTGTATGTTGACCATCCTTTTTTATTTGTTTTTTTTTGTCATTGGGTTGCTGTTCCATTGACATACACCCTAAATCTTTGTTCATATAAAAAGATATTCACCAGAAAAGATTTTCAAATTCAACTGGATTCAAACTTCTATTTTTAATAATCAATTAATTTTAAAAACACAAGTAAGAATGTGTGCATCAATTTTACATTGCTTGTATAAGTTTCAATATTTCTGGGTACTGTTTTGCTATATTTATTAAATCACTTTGTGTCTCAATTATCATTCTTGGGACACCAGGTTGAGGTGATTTATTCTTTTTAATCTAACAGTTACCCTGAACTTAACATTCTTTATCATTATTGGCTAGCTCGGTTCTTTTGTTAAATCAACCATTTTATCTTAAGCTATGATTGATAAATATTGAGATGGACTATAATATCCTAGGAATAAATTTTAAACATGGATTGTCTCCCTTCAATACTATACACTTACCCATTCAGAAATAATCTTATTCTGAGGGTCAGCTATATCTACTGTATCTGCTGACTACAATTAAAAACAAGAAGGTGAAATTAAAACCCAAAATGTTAATGTTTAATAAAATACAAATGCATGTAAAGTTTACAACAAAGATACAATTTTTAATTAAACCACAAAATCAGGTACCCACAACAATAAAATACTCCTCAGTATAAAATATCCTAATTTTCAGTATCAATTATAGATGTTAATCTTTTGTAAAAAAATATGCCTGATTTTTTTCTTGATTTTTATAATCAAAACTATTATACCTTCGTGCTTTTTTCTAATTTTTGTGGTGAAAAACAAAAAGTGCAGGCACATAGTGTACGATAAAAAAAATATTCTTATATATAGAGAAAATTTGAGAAAAAAAAAACAAGGGTAATTTAAACACACATCCTAAACAGACAAATTATTGTTAGTTTAAATGCTTCATACTTACTACTGACTGAATATTAAGTAGAAGCTTAAGTTGTGTTATAAACACTTCCATTACAGATTTCATATCCATACTGACTGGGACAGGCAGAGTATCATTGGCTCCTGGGGATGGCACATTGTAGATAAAGATGCCACCCCATCGTGGACTAAGGAACGAGTTACTTTCCACTTTCACACCTGTAAAAAATATACATATTCAATTCATACAGTTGAGGGTTTTAAAATAAAGGAGTAAGTTCAGCCCCAAAATGGTCTCTGTTTCTTGCTGAAATTTCAAATTAGGATAAAATGGCAATAATCACCATGTTTTATAGTTAAAACATTGACTACATAGGAATTTTTTTTTATATAAATAGCCTATCTGACTTGAATATTTAGTTTGTTTAACCCTCATCTCTATATTTTCTGTAACTCAATGTAGTTGAAATCCGGAAAACTTTGTCAACTTCCACCAAAATCTCTACTTTAGGCCTATTTGTGATGTAAATGTTAAGGCTTTATTAGAACACTTTCTGACATGTTTATGCATCAGCTTGAAACACTTTTTTTTATCTTGAATTTTTTTATCTTGAAATAATGGACTTAATATTGGGGGATAGGCCCTAACCAAAGCTACATACCTATTCAAGAAGTATTGAATAGTATTCTTGAAATAATTTGAAAGCCAAATAGATATAATGCTATATTGTAACCTGTTTATAAAATCTGTTCTCTTAAAAATTCTGCATACATCTTATATTTTGTATTCTAATATTAACTATGAATAGAAAATACACACTTTTCATCTATCATATAAACCCTATCAGAAGAAAATGATAACCTTGCTCAATGGGCAAGCAATTCATTCACTTTTTAAAAATTTCTAAAGGATCACCATAGTCAGAAAACTGAATAGAATATGTGTAAAAATAAAACTGACTTACCTTTTCTCTGACAAATATATAATGGATGTTGATTTCTACTGGGGACATATGTCAAAAAATTTAAAGTTGGGTTGTTAGAAGCATGTGATCCTGTAAAAACAATGAATCAATATCTTTAATACATGTCATTAAATTTTGTAATTACAGGTAGAAATTTAGAATAAATGAAAATTGAAGGTCACATTTCTGACTTGGTATGAGAAGAAGAAATGTATGATTAAACACAGCATAAAAGAGACAAACTTTCCATTTACATGAGTATATCCTGTGCATTCAAGTAATAGGAAATATCTTGTGGTCTTGAACTTCATACACCTTGAAAATTGATTGCCATTTTTAAAAGGGGTTGTATTAATTATTATTTTAAGCATCACAATAGAAAAAATTTGATGTCACAGACCAATAGTGATTATTTTACAAACATCATTAGGTCAACAGGGGTCAAATTAAGGTTAGTTGTAATAAAATCTTGGAATTAGAACTTGATTTATACAGTGGTATCAATTCCTCACCTAGTTTGACCTCCAATGGGTTGATAGTGTGAGGTAAATCATCCATATCATAGTAAAATTCTCCTTTCTTTTCGTCTGACTTTGGTCTTCTCAGTAACCCAGTATAGTACATCACCTGTTAATTACATGAAACTCTTGTGAAAATAAATTTCTGAATACATAAAACAGCAAATGTAAGTCTTGCAAAATACATTATTGAACATTTAAACAGCAAATTAAAAATTAAGTCTTGCAACATACATTACTGTAAATTTGTAAACATGCTTAAAAATTAAGTCATGCAAGATACATAATAATGTAAATTTAAAAAAAAAAATCTAGGCATGTGACATACATTAATGTAAATTTGAATAAAATAAAAAATCAACTCTTGAGTACAAATTGTCTTTGTTTTAAGGGAGAGGTGTGTCTATGAGGTAAAAAGGAAATTAAGCCATATGTCAAATATTAAGTGTGAAAAAGACTGACCTATTTTAGATTGATTGATTGTTGCTTAATGTCTAGTGGTAAAATTATTTCACGCCTATTCAAATTGAGCAATATTTCAGCCAATTTCAAGTGAGATATGACTTACCTGTGATTTGATGTTCAACTTTGCATACTGTTCAATTTTTAATATCAATGGGTCTAAATATGCTGTAAAAATAATCAAAAGCATTTAAAAAGAAGCTAAGTCGTTATGAAAATAAAACAGTAATTTGGAAATATATGGCTTTCTACAAGCCCCTTTTACCTCTTCTCTATCAACATGATTTAGTCTTCTTACTCTCAATATGTATATATTTACTATATTTCCAAAATTAAAAAGCATAAAAGATGATGTTAAATGTTAAATACAATAAAAGGCATAAAAATAACATCTGTATGTAATAAAATAACTTTGATCAGGCCAACCTTAAAAATATGTTTGTTTGCAGTTTTCCGACTGTACCTTCAGACTGCAGGGTCGGTAGGTAGGAAAAATATTTTATTTTATCAGCCAGAATAAAGTTTAAACAAGTAGTTTAACACAAACCAAGTTTCTTGTGAAGAAAAAACATTTCAAAACAACAAACACTGAAAACCAACATGAAATGAACAGGCATTTTCAGGTAAACAACTTTGTAACCAAAACTGAAACTTAACATAGTGTCATTATACAATTTATGACGTAAATTTATGGTATTATGAAAAACTGGAACACTTATAAACAAGGAATGACTAGAATTGTTGTAAAGAAACATATTCACTGACATATATGCATCTTTACTAGAATGTTTTCATGAGTAGAGTATTTGCATTGAAAAATGTAGATATTAAAGATTCAAAAGACAATTTAGGAGTGTGTTAAAAAAAATCAACCATTAAATCTTCCTCAATTAAAAAAAAAAGACAACTTAAAAACAATATATTAGACATCTGACTGTTATAAAGGTTATATTTGGAAAGATATATGTTGATGCCAGGCTTTAATTAAAACAAACAAAAATCTTAAGACTAGCTTTGTGGTGAAATCCATCACCCCCAGTTTTTGGTGGGGTTCGTGTTGCTTAGTCTTTAGTTTTCTATGTTGTGTCATCTGTACTTATATTTGTCTGTTTGTCTTTTTATTTTTTAGCCATGGCGTTGTCAGTTTATTTTCGATCTACGAGTTTGACTGTCCCTCTGGTATCTTTCGCCCCTCTTCCATAGCACCCCATTAAAAGTACTGTACTGAAATGTTTTGACTGCATAAAAAAATTGACAGCATAGCTCCTAGCTAAGGACATATTTCAATTCAATTCACACAGGCCACACAGTTTGTGTATATTTAATATTGTAAGAGAGAGAATAATTGCAATGAGTGGGACAGCCCCCCTTATCCTAAAGGAGCATACTCATTGCAATCGAAGATTTGATACAGAGATAATATATTTATTTCTCAAGCCAACCATTCATTTTCTCTGCATCTTTGTGTAGTTTGTGTGGCTTCTTATTGATTTAACATTTCAAATGCGTCCTTCCACCGTACATGCGTGTTTACAGGTATCCATGAAGTCACGTAGGAGTGGTTTCATCTTTGTCGTCTTCACGACGATTTAAAGAAACTATGGCATACTTCAGGCTGCTGTCAAATTGTTGAACCACTGATATTGGTTCCATAATTTTAAAGTCAGTCTCAAAAAATTCTGTATCCGATTTGTTTGACAGAAACAGTTATCGTGTCGGTTTTATGAATATCCGCTGCATCATCGTCAATGATATCATCGAAGACATCATTCCGTGTGCAATTCTGCCTGAATCAGTATAAACAGTTTACTATGAAACTTTTCTGTGTATTATTTGTCTTAAAATTGACAGAAGACGACAGAATAAAGTACTCCTCCATGACTTCGTGGATACCTGTAAACAATCTCCATGTGCTTTACCATTAAAGGGTCCGATGAACGCTTGACAGGAAGGGAAGAAAAACCGAACTTTAATTCCGGAAACAACCAGAAATTCTGGATCGAGTCAATAGAAGTATTAAAAATAATTTCTTCAAATTTAAAGCAATAAAATGTTCACAGTCGGGCGGATTTTCGAAGGTCGGTCGGTAAACTGCAAACAAACAATATTTTAATTTAAGCCTCAGGAACATGTGTTATATGCAACAAAATAACTTTGATCAGGAACATGTGTTATATGCAACAAAATAACTTTGATCAGGAACATGTGTTATATGCAACAAAATGACTTTGATTTAGACCATTTGTTTTATGCATCATTTTAGTTGCAGAATGGTAAGGGTATTATTATATAGTATAATTTTACAATGATCTTGCAAACTTCATATTATAAATCTCATTGGACATCTAAAATATCAGATTGAGAGTTCACACAAGTAAGGGTAATTTTGTATATTTGTTTGTTACAATTACTCACAAACTCCATGTTCTATATCCCACTGGATGTCTAAAATGTCAGGTTGAGGGTTCACAAGGCTAAAGGTTATATCATATTCATCATTTGATTTGACAGCTCTCATGCTTTCTTTATCTGGCTAAAAGTATGAAAAATTAGAAAAAAACAAATGGTTTTATATTAGTTGTAACTTTCTTTCCATGATTAAATTTGGTATTTTGAAGCATTCAAACTAGCTCCACTAAAAAACATCTTGCCTTTAAGTGAATGCAATAGAAACATAGTAGCAACATGATACATTTTTAATTCAATAACTTTTTCAGTAGAATAATAGAACATCAGAAAGTGATCTATTGAAATTGAAATACATTATGTATATGCCTGTCCCTAGATTTTTTTACATAAATCAGGCATTTAGTTTTCTTGCTTGAATTGTTTTACATTTGTCATTTTGGGCCTTCTGTAGCTTACTATGGGGTATGGGTTTTGCTCATTGTTGAAAGACGTACTATGACCTATAGTTGATTACTCCTATGTCATTTGGTCTTGGTTGGAAAGTTGTCTCATAGGCAATTATACCAAATCTTCAAATTTTGATAGGGTGTTAAATGTTGTGGCTTGTATGAAGAAAAACATTCTAACTACCTTACTAGTTATGGTATGGATCTTTTGTTGACAGCTGTTGTAAACGTAGAATTCCGAGCATTCATAATTTATAACTAAACACCATCTTTGTAGAAAATAACAGTCACGATTTATTCACACTGCATGTATTATACAGACGTTACATAAAATACAAAACACACGGCATACACTCCGACATTTCAAACCATTTCAGCTATCTTGTTCATTCGTCAACCCATCTATCCCCTCTCACGTCACTATCATACAACGTCAAAATACGGGAAAACAACGTTAACACCTTACTGCGTAATCACGGACATGTAGACAAAGTCACAGTCACAACAACAGCTATACAATGACTAACTGCCTTACTAATTATGGTATGGATCTTTTGTTGACAGCTATACAATGACTAACTGCCTTACTAATTATGGTAGGGATCTTTTGTTGACAGCTATACAATGACTAACTGCCTTACTAATTATGGTAGGGATCTTTTGTTGACAGCCATACAACGACTAACTGCCTTACTAATTATGGTAGGGATCTTTTGTTGACAGCCATACAATGACTAACTGCCTTAATAATTATGGTAGGGATCTTTTGTTGACAGCCATACAATGACTAACTGCCTTACTAATTATGGTATGGATCTTTTGTTGACAGCCATACAATGACTAACTGCCTTACTAATTATGGTAGGGATCTTTTGTTGACAGCCATACAATGACTAACTGCATTACTAATTATGGTATGGATCTTTTGTTGACAGCCATACAATGACTAACTGCCTTACTAATTATGGTAGGGATTTTTTGTTGACAGCCATACAATGACTAACTGCCTTACTAATTATGGTGGGGATCTTTTGTTGACAGCCATACAATGACTAACTGCCTTACTAATTATGGTATGGATCTTTTGTTGACAGCCATACAATGACCTGTAGATAATCCTTATTTTGTTTTTTTCATCTCTGGTGGATACTGGTCTCATTATTTTTATATCAGAATATGTGGTTGTGCCTTGTAGTAACATAATGCCAAAATCTTATACAATTATTGACTTTTGATGAGGTTGATACAATGATTTATCAACTGAAATCAAAAGTCAACAATTGTTTTATTATATGACTGTTTATCCTTCACCAATTTTCTAGTATTTGTTCAAGATACTTTTAAAACTGTTTTTATACTAAATATAATTTATCATCTGCTTTTGCAGTTGCTAATTTTCAACAGTTGAAATATCCAATAAAGTTTACTAAAAAAAATACACAGAAAACAAGAAGAGAAAAATTACACCGAAAACAAGAAGAAAAGAAAAAAACGGGAATTTACATGACGTCACAAACCTACATCATTGACGTTGCCTTGGAATATCTATATTTAGGTACATAGACACTGTTCCAAATCTTATATTAACCTCTCATGATTTGAGAAGCTGTGAATATAACGTTTTATCAAAGAAGATTTCCTATGCTTTTAGCCAATGAGAAAACAGAAAATTTTTAGCCATATAATAAATTACATTAATGTGAAAACTAAGCAATAAGATATTAACCAAAATGTAACAAAATCAAGTTCCTGAAATAATTTACCTGTTGGTTTATTTTCTGTCCTTTCTTGGCTTGGTTCTGTCCTTTAGTAGCTTGATAAGTCTTTGTCAGCACTGATTCTCTAACTAAATGTTCCTTAACAAGGCGTACAATGTCATCAGATACTGAAGATAATTCTGTAATACAATAGTTTTTTTTAATAGATGTACAATGTCATCCAATACAGAAGATAATTCTATAATAGAAAGCTTTTATTTACAAAGTTTACAATGTCATCAGATACTGAAGATAGTTCTGTAATACATGTAAAAAGCTTTTTTTCACTAGGTGTACAATGTCATCTGATACAAAAGATAATTCTATAATAGAAAGCTTTCATTTACCAGGTGTACAATGTCATTCGAAACTGACAATAATTTTGTAATTCAAAATATTGATATATTTTCCTGACATCAGTCTACTGTCCAAAAGGTACAGTATTTTCAAGAATTCACCTTTGAGCAGTCACATTCAAACTTTTAACTTATTTTTTTCAAAAACTTTGAATTTTTCGAAATACTAAGGATTTTCCAACCCCGGAATAGATAACCTTAGCTGAACTTGGCAAAACCTTTTGAATTTTCGGTCCATAATGCTCTTTAACTTCGTACTTTATTTGGCCTTTTTAAATTTTTTGATTCAAGCGTCAGTGATGAGTCTTTTGTAGACAAAACACATACCTGGCGTACAAATTTTAATCCTGTTATATATGATGAGTTTAATTCCTTAACTCTCCATAACTATTTATATATATCAATTGTTTGATATGGCACTAATTTCTCTCAATCAAAGTGCTTGCAAGCACTGAAGGGTAAAGATTGCTTTAATTTATGAGTGGGAGGTAAAACTAAATATTGCATTGTATAAAGCAGTGGTTTACAATTCTTGACAAAGGAAGATAACTCAAATTTTTAAAAATGACTTTAACAATGACATCAATGATATTTTTAGAACAGATATTAGATTCCTGCACCTTGCAAAAGTTGTGTATTTTTCTTGACAAGTATAACATCATTTTGTAACTTGAATATCTGAGTATATATTTCATTGATAAATTTCTGGAAATGTTCATGGATAGGATGTATAGAATGTTATGATCAATGCACTATATTTTGTGTATCTCAAAAGTAGTGATAAACCTTGGAAGATTTAGAAATCAAGTCAGTACCATAGGGTTTTGATTGCATTTCATGCAATCTTTACCCAAAAACCATCATAATCTAAAATTCAAAGACAATATCATATGACCATATAAGATATGAAACTGAGATATTTAACAATAATAACATTAGCATTATTTTCTACAATGTAAAACTTAAATATTACATTAATATATTACCTCTGCCTTTTGTGGACAAATACAGTGCATGATGGGTACCAATGTAAGGCTTTGTTAGTTTCTTTGGTAACAAATAAATCTCATATCTATTCTGTTTTTCATCTTCTACATGTAACTTTTCATCTAAACCTAAAAATAATAAAAGACTTGAAAACAAGACATAAATGGAAAGTTTAAATTTCAGTCTATTATCCAACTCTGTCCTTTATGTACCAACAAACAAAAAGGAAAAAAAACTCAAAAAAACAACATGAGTACATAAGCTGAGTTGCAATCGTTATGGAATTGTAGTAGAAGAAACAGATTTTTCAGTAGCTTACTGATCACTTCATTTTGATGATGAAGATTGTAAAGTCTGCTGACAATTTATGTTAAAAGATGTGAAAAAAGGTATTGTGACCTTGACCTTTGACCCAAAAATCTACAGGAGTCTTTTTCTTTCCAAGTGCCATTCTCAAGCTAAGTTTGGTGAATGTTGGACATATGTTATCATTTAAATCTTTGACAATTCATAAGAAGCTATATGACGCTACCTGGTAATTCCAATTTTTCATGAACTTGCTCGTCCTTTGTACATTGTCGAACATTTACTCTGTATTTACTGTAGATATCACTTTCTTTAGAAGCTGGAAAAAAAATTAACATTAAAAAAGTACAATACCTTTACAAAAATATCCAGGAGAAGAAAGAAAAATATGAGTTCTATTTGAACTGGCATCCTTTATCTTAAAGCACAATGATATTTCGTTCTTAAAATATCTCCTATAAATATTTCACAATCATCCATTAGAAACTAGTGATAACTGCTCATTTTTGAAGATCTAGACTGCACAGTAACCTGTAGCAGTTTATGTCCTCGTCCTTTGGTCTTTAGTTTGTCTCATAACCAATCATATCTACTTATCTAACACTTTTTAAATGGATGAACTGTATTTGTATATCCTTCCCTTAATATAGCAATGAAAAGAAAAAAAAAATTAAACAAAATTTCAGATAGGCAAAATATATCTCATACATATTTGTGGTGGTGTACAATAACTTAAGAAGAGTACCTAAGTGTGATGTTAGAAGTCCTGATAATGAGGTTAGGTCTACATCAGTTATTTGGACATCAAAATTAATGACCTCCAAATCAACTGTATACTTCAACTGAAAAATATAAAATAAAAATTTCTTTAATACAGTAGTATTATTATGTTTAGTAATAGACTGTATCCAAGTTGTCAATTACTCATTAACTCACGTAAAAATTCCTACAGATCTGCAATTCTTTTAAGAAAAACATTTCAGTATAACTTGTGATAAATTTAAACTGAAACATTCTTTTACAGACACAAGCTACTGTTAACATATGTATAGCCATATGTTAAGAATTGCGCTTAATTAAAAAGTACCCTTTATATTATATAGAAAGCTGAAACACCATAATCAAACTTGAGATCACTATTAAGGATACACAGCCCAACCCATTAATCTACATTGGTGTAGTGACCATATTTAAATGAAACAAAATATTACACTGCTTCATACTGCATTTTAAAATACCATTGAAGTAAGATTGTTATGAGTTGTGGGGTATATTTTAAAGAGATTTTCTACATAAGGAAATGCCTGTACCAAGTCAGGAATATGACAGTTGTTTTCCATTCGTTTGATATGTTTCAGCTTTCGATTTTGGCATTTGACAAGGGACTTTCCGTTTTGAATTTTCCTTGGAGTTCGGTATTTTTGTTATTTTACTTTTTTCAAAGAGACAGTTATCTGACAACACAGATCAGTTCATAGGAGTCGGATTGAAATTTTCACCACTCATACCCACAGTAAGAACAATGAGTTGCATGCAATGCCATGCTAAGTAATAGTACAGACATTGATGTGAGATTCCATTCACAGTGGGTATATTAAGAATTCAACATATCATCAAACAGAACTGACTCTCCAACAGATTTGAAAATCTCTTACCATGCTTCAAAATTTTAAAATGTTTCGACTTATCATGGGGTTTGTACTTACATGAACAACACGACGGGTGCCAAAAGTGTAGCAGGATCTGCTTACCCTTCCAGAGCACCTGAGATCACCCCCAGTTTTTGGTGGGGTTTGTGTTGCTCAGTCTTTATTTTTCTATGTTGTGTTTCATGAACTGTTGTTTTTGGTAGGGTTCATATTGCTCAGTCTTTAGTTTTCTATGTTGTGTTTTGTGTACTGTTGTTTGTCTGTTTGTCTTTTTCTTTTTCAGCCATGTTGTTGTCAGTTTATTTTCGACTTATGAATTTGAATGTCCCTTTGGTATCTTTCACCTCTCTTTTAATACAGAAAAACATGAAAGGACCAATGAACAGACTGATGGATAGATGAACAAGCAGACATTAATGCAAAATACAACCCAGTCTGTGAGTCTGGGTATAACATAGTTCAGTTGTGAGTCTGGGTATGACATAGTTCAGTTGAGAGTCTGGGTATAACATAGTTCAGTTGTGAGTCTGGGTATAACATAGTTCAGTTGAGAGTCTGGGTATAACATAGTTCAGTTGTGAGTCTGGGTATAACATATTTCAGTTGAAAGTCTTGGTATAACATATTTCAGTTGAGAGTCTGGGTATAACATAGTTCAGTTGAGAGTCTGGGTATAACATAGTTCAGTTGTGAGTCTGGGTATAACATATTTCAGTTGAGAGTCTGGGTATAACATATTTCAACTGAGAGTCTGGGTATAACATAGTTCAGTTGAGATGGGTGAGCTGAACATCAACTGATTTGATAGACAATCTCTCAATTAAACCAAATTTACTGAAATTCTTCTTAGCATTCAGGTGTAAGGACAAAAAAGAAGGCAACAAGTCATACTTATCTGTTTTTATTGTGTGACAATTCTTACTTTACATATAAACTTTTACTTTGAACTAGATCATCAAAAAGTTGACTCAGTTTCTTAGTCATGTTTAATTTGTGTGACATTACCATGTTTTTTGTGTGACATTACTATGTTATTGTGTGACATAACTGTTTCATTTGCATGACATTATCATGATATTTGTGTGAAATCATCATGATATTTATGTGATATTATCATGTCATTTGTGTGACATTATCATGTCATTTGTGTGATATTATCATGTCATTTATGTGACATTATCATGTTAATTGCCTGACATTATCATGTCATTTGTGTGACATTATCATGTCATTTGTGTGATATTATCATGTTATTTGCGTGATATTATCATGTCATTTGTGTGATATTATCATGTCATTTGTGTGATATTATCATGTTATTTATGTGACATTATCATGTCATTTGTGTGACATTATCATATTATTTGCCTGACATTATCATGTCATTTGTGTGATATTATCATGTTATTTGTGTGACATTATCATGTCATTTGTGTGACAATATCATGTCATTTGTGTGACATTATCATGTTATTTGCCTGACATTATCATGTCATTTGTGTGACATTATCATGTTATTTGCCTTACATTATCATGTCATTTGTGTGACATTATCATGTTATTTGCCTGACAATATCATGTCATTTGTGTGATATTATCATGTTATTTGCCTGACATTATCATGTTATTTGCCTGACATTATCATGTCATTTGTGTGACATTATCATGTCATTTGTGTGACATTATTATGTCATTTGTGTGATATTATCATGTTATTTGCCTGACATTATCATGTTATTTGCCTGACATTATCATACTATTTGTGTATTTTACTATTTACAGCTTGGGTGACTGTATCCCAACATCATATCCTTTTTTTTAAATTGGTCCATGCATAGCAAAATGTTAACAAAGTAAGATTGTTACCTTTGCTTGATATAAGTCCTCTATATCTGAGTAAGGAAGACTAACTCTGTATACTTCTGTTGTTTTCCACCATAAAGGTAATCCAATGACGATATAAACAAAACCAACTCCCAAAGCAGCATATATCTGGGTCCAGGTTTCTGAAAAAGAAATATATAAATACTTAAACTTGCATATATTTCTGGGAGTTTGGATAGGCAAGGAAAAAACAACTTTTCATATCATCTGCACCTACTACATTATCTTAAACTGTGAAAAATGATGGAACATGGAAAATCAAAGAAATCTTTATGGACAACCTTTAATTTATAGGGATAGAGAAAAATAATGGTGCAATTTCAAGGATGTGATGAAATGGAGGAGAGAATAAGAGGTTTAGTATTCTTTTTACCCAGCAAACAATGTTCAGTCTCAATTAAGTGTCCAGAAACAGACAAAATTTCCTGTCATGGCCAATTCTTAAAGCCCTTGACTGAAATGTGTTTAGGAAATTAGGTCGAGAAAAAAAATTAAAATAGAAAGTTTAGGAAATAACAATTAATGTCAGAAATTGAAATCTTTTGTTACAGGTTACTATGTCTTTATTATTTTCCAGTAAAAAAACTGACATTTGTACTTTAATTGAGTAAAAGTGACATGTATCTCAAAATTATAATCTTGATGATCAGTTTTAAACCAAACTATATGTAAAATTTGAAGGACCGGAACAATCTTTTTTCTTTACTTATGAATATTTCTGGAAATATTTTGGACCAACAAGCACACAAAAGGTATTCAAGTATTTGTATATATGCAAAAAATTCTAGTCATCAATGAAGAATTCATGGCAAAATTGAGGCTCAGGTTTGAGAGCAAATTTTTTCTCAAGAGTCCAGACGAAAATAATGGCTCCACCTTTAAGTCATAGGAATGCTGCACAGCAAAAAATTTAATTAGCCCTTCAAGATGACATAATTTATTTATTTGGGCTATGGTGTAACATTGGATGTCATCATTATCTTGTGACTTTTGCTCATGAAATGTGTGAGAGAAAAATGTGGTATCAGGTCCGTTTGCCCTGATTACATGTTGGCCCTGGGTCTGTTCGCCCTTGGTTCATTTTCCCATAGAATCTGTTCCCCCTAGGTGCGTTCTCCCTACTTTTATTTAAAAAATATATTAATATTAATGGTATACCATGTTAAGGTTTTATAAACTTATTCATATATTTATATGGTAAGTATTAAACAAAATATATATCATGTATATGTTTCTTGGAATTCATGAACAAATATGGCAATATTTAGAAATTAATTGCTTGTTTGGAAGATAAACTGTTCATAGTTATGATGTCTTTGATCTCACTGATTGTTGTATTAATTGTTTTTGGTGGATTTATAATGAAAACAGCATTTAAAACAAACTAGACAGCTTGGAATGAGTAAAAACAATGATGAATGAATTGTAAAACATAAAAAGGAAACTTTGTGGTATTTATAAATTCATTTATCACTATACTGTCTAAATTAAATGATTAGAATTATTGAGGACTGAGAACCAATCTGTAATGACAAAATAAAATTTATATATACCAGTGTGATATAAATGAGAAAAACACAAGAAATTGTTAAAATGTATTAATAAAAATTAAATACATGCAGTTATCTCAGTCTTCAGTTGTTTTATATTGAATACCTTGTATTCTAGGCCTGTATTCTACAGTGCAAATCAAAGGAATATAATTATCTGGAAGCAGCAATACAACATAAATATTCGGCAAATTTTTCAACAAAATTTAATAAACTCTATTCAAATAATAAACATTATACAACAAGACAACAACAAAAAATTAAAAATCAGGGCCTTCTATTACTTTAGGGATCCCAACATTACTATTAAACAAGAGTGCACACGCTGGAATGTCTCGCCTTCTTTACTAATCATTGATATTATGTTGATAGTCCTAAATATAAAGCTTTATTACAACTGTCACATAAACTTAACATTAACCAAGAAAACTAAACATTGACCAATGAACCATGAAAATGAGGTCAAGGTCAGATGAACCATGCCAGGCAGGCATGTACAGCTAACAATTCTTCCATACAACAAATATAGTTGACCTATTGCTTATAGTAAGAAAAACAGACCAAAACACAAAAACTTAACACTGAGCAATGAACTGTGAAAATGAGGTCAAGGTCAAATAAAACCTGCACGACTGACATGTAGATCATAAAATATTTTCATACACCAAATATAGTTGACCTATTGCATTTAGTAAAAGAAAAAAAGACCAAAACTCAAAATCTTAACTTTGACCACTGAACCATGAAAATGAGGTCAAGTTCAAATGACCCCTGCCAGCTAGACATGTACACCTTACAATCATTCCATACACCAAATATAGTAGACCTATTGCATACAGTATAAGAAAAACAGACCAAAACACAAAAACTTAACTATAACCACTGAACCATGAAAATGAGGTCAAGGTCAGATGACACCTGCCTGTTGGACATGTACACCTTACAGTCCTTCCATACACCGAATATACTTGACCTATTGCTTATAGTATCTGAGATATGGACTTGACCACCAAAACTTAACCTTGTTCACTGATCCATGAAATGAGGTCGAGGTCAAGTGAAAACTGTCTGACGGGCATGAGGACCTTGCAAGGTACGCACATACCAAATATAGTTATCCTACTACTTATAATAAGAGAGAATTTAACATTACAAAAAATGTTAACTTTTTTTTCAAGTAGTCACTGAACTATGAAAATGAGGTCAAGGACATTGGACATGTGACTGACGGAAACTTCGTAACATGAGGCATCCATATACAAAGTATGAAGCATCCAGGTCTTCCACCTTCTAAAATATAAAGCTTTAAAGAAGTTAGCTAACGCCGCCGCCGCTGCCGGATCACTATCCCTATGTCGAGCTTTCTGAAACAAAAGTCGCAGGCTTGACAAAAATGGAGGGTCCCACAATATATTGTGTATTTAAAATGCATTGTGCTATTGTTTTAATAATACTGTTGTATTGATTGTTTATATAGTATTGGCTTGTATATAGGTTGTGGGACTCCTCAAGTAAAAGAAGGCATTATTGCACTCTTTTACTTTAGGGGTCCCATTAAAATTACCCATATATAGGTTGTGGGACCCCTAAAGTAAAAGAAGGCATTATTGCACTCTTTTACTTTAGGGGTCCCATTAAAATTACCTTTAAATAATTAAAAGGCACTGGCTACGATTACATTGAAATGTAACAATAATTAACTAGAGGCTCTAAAAAGCCTGTGTCGCTCACCTTGGTCTATGTGCATATTAAACAAAGGACACAGATGGATTCATGACAAAATTGTGTTTTGGTGATGGTGATGTGTTTGTAGATCTTACTTTACTGAACATTCTTGCTGCTTACAATTATCTCTATCTATAATGAACTTGGCCCAGTAGTTACAGTGGAAAATATTTTGTAAAAATTTACGAAAATTTACAAAATTTATGAAAATTGTAAAAAATTGACTATAAAGGGCAACAACTCCTTAAGGGGTCAATTGAAAATTTTGGTCATGTTGACTTATTTGTAGATCTTACTTTGCTGTACATTATTAATGTTTACAGTTTATCTCTATCTATAATAATATTCAAGATAAAATGCTTCGCTGGGCGCAGCTTGATACGACCGCAGAGGTCGAACCCTGAACAGTTGGGGCAAGTATGAACACAACATTCAAGCTTGATACAGCTCTGAATTTGGATTGTGATTAAATATTTGACACAGCATAGGTTTCTGACACAGAAAGAATGTGGTCTAAGAACTTCAATTTTTTTAATTTACCTATTATGGTCCAATTTCCAAAATCAAAATACATGGTTAGATTCAGCATATCAAAGAACCCCATATATTCAATTTTTGTTGAAATCAAACAAAGTTTAATTTTGGACCCCAACTTGGACAAACTTGAAAACTGGTCCCATAAACAAAAATCTAAACACATGTTTAGATTCAGCATATCAAAGTACCCCAAAAATTCAATTTTTGTTAAAATCAAACTAAGTTTAATTTTGGACCCTTTGGACCTTAATGTAGACCAATTTAAAAATGGGACCCAAAATTAAAAATCTAAAAACACGGTTAGATTTGGCATATCAAAGAACCCCAAGAATTCAATTTTTGATGAAATCAAACAAAGTTTAATTTTGGACCCTTTTGACCTCAATATGAACCAATTTGATAGCGGCCCACAAATAAAAAATCTAAATACATGGTAAGATTCAGCATATCAAAGAACCCCATATATTCAATTTTTGTTGAAATCAAACAAAGTTTAATTTTGGACCCCAATTTGGACCACTTGAAAACTGGGCCAAAAATCTAAAATCTAAATACATGTTTAGATTCAGCATATCAAAGAACCCCATATATTCAATTTTTGTTGAAATCAAACAAAGTTTAATTTTGGACCCCAACTTGGACCAACTTGAAAACTGGGCCCATTATCAAAAATCTAAACACATGTTTAGATTCAGCATATCAAAGAACCCCAAGAATTCAATTTTTGTTAAAATCAAACTAAGTTTAATTTTGGACCCTTTTGACCTCAATGTGGACAAAGTTGATAACGGGGCCCAAATATAAAAAATCTCAATACATGGTTAGATTCAGCATATCAAAGAACCCCATATATTCAATTTTTGTTGAAATCAAACAAAGCTTAATTTTGGACCCTTTTGACCTCAATATGAACCAATTTGATAGCGGGGTCCACAAATAAAAAATCTAAATACATGGTTAGATTCAGCATATCAAAGAACCCCATATATTCAATTTTTGTTGAAATCAAACAAAGTTTAATTTTGGACCCCAATTTGGACCAACTTGAAAACTGGGCCAAAAATCTAAAATCTAAATACATGTTTACATTCAGCATATCAAAGAACCCCATATATTCAATTTTTGTTGAAATCAAACAAAGTTTAATTTTGGACCCAAACTTGGACCAACTTGAAAACTGGGCCCATTATGAAAAATCTAAACACATTTTTAGATTCAGCATATCAAAGAACCCCAAGAATTCAATTTTTGTTAAAATCAAACTAAGTTAAATTTTGGACCCTTTTGACCTCAATGTGGACAAAGTTGAT